TTTTTATATATATACTGTATATATATATATATATATATATATATATATATATATATATTCTTATATAAATATATGTATATATAGTATGTGTCATAATAATAATAATAATAAATGTATATATTGACTGCATGATAAATTATTTGAATATTTTTGTATTATTATTAAATCAAATGTGTTTATTAATATATATCATTTGGGAACTCCGAAAATAATTGTGATTTGTGTACTTTTTTGACATATAATTTTATTAAATTAATAACGGTTCAAATCAAACCCTACCACCACTGTTCGACCTTTGACACCTTTGTGGTTTCATTGAGTCTTTCTCTGATGTATTTTCAAACTGCTTTAACAAAAAAACCCAGAGGGAAGGGTGCATTTCTTGTTTACAACAAAATGGCCCAAACCCAATAAACAAAGAAAAACTGCAAGAGATCGAGAAGCATTTCCAAAACATTCTGACAGGAAGTTCACAGTCGACTCAATCATCTCCTTATCTCGCTGCCCTGTAATAAGCATTATCATTACCAATTGTTTGGCTCTTAAAACTCATTTTGGAGGTGAACTTCGCTTGTAAAGTCTGTGATAACCTTTGTGGATGTCTCCATGATTTTTGTTGGCAGCTCTGTTAATCTCTCCCCGTGTCTTTGCAGTAATGATGTCAGGCAAAACGTTCAGATTCCACTATGAGTAATGCCTCTCTTGTGCTCGAGTGCTTTGACTGCATTGTTAATATCAACAAAGGCATAAAAGAAAACTGTGGGCCCTGCCTGAGAGCCCTGGCTTGAGATAGTTGCAAGAAAAGCAGTCTGCGAATCACTTATCAATGCACTGGTGAGGCGAGAGTTTGACTCTGTTATTCCGTATGGATTTTCGGTTTATCGTATGACATAAATCGTGGCCGCCTCTTTGACACTGCAGGGAGGAGCTCTTGAGGACCTTGGGACCCATCAATAACCTGATAAAAGGTCCCACTGGTGTTCGAGAGAGTGACATCAACTGTTTGACTATAAACTCGCTGTGTTTCTCAGGTGGAGTGAAACCATGTGCGTTGAACTGTCTGGCTGAGGGCTACAACTTCTACACCGAACGCTCGCCCGCTGTCATCGACGGCACGCGCTGCCAGGCCGACTCGCTGGACATATGCATCAATGGAGAGTGCAAGGTGAGTCTACAGCCCAAATCTCACTTGCAGTGCCTGAAGAAAGTCATTTTTTACTGAGAATTTACTGTAGTAAATAGCATGCCAATTTATAGTGCTTAGGCTGCATCCCAATTTCCAAATGCATTGAACTCACTAAAGACACGAGTGAGGTACAGCAGTTTTGAGGCGTGAATTACATCTTGATATCTCACACACCTTTGTTATATACTGTTTGGCAAGTTAGCATTAGCATCTAGCAAAAGTTCTTGCATATTATTACCTAAATTGTATGAAATGTGGGTTACACTTTACTTGAAGGGGTGTGCATAATACTGACATGACACCTTCATAATCATGACATGACACCTACATAATCATGACATGACACATGTCATGAATATGAAGGGTTTTTATGCATGTTTATGACAACTGTCATTAAGTGTCATTCACTCAGTTATGTAATTTTTAATGCAAAGATGACATTGTTTGAGATGTCTTTGTTATGGGCTATGGTTAGGGGTAAGGGTAGGGGTAGGGTTAGGTAAAATAATGTCATATTTGCATTAAAAATGACATAACTGAGCGAATGACACAATGACAGTTGTCATAAACATGCATAAAACCTCCTTCATATTCATGACATGTGTCATGTCATGATTATGAAGGAGTCATGTCAGTCTTATGCACACCCCTTCAAGTAAAGTGTTACCGAAATGTGTTGTAGATTTAGCATTTTCTTCCTCAGCATTTTTTTAACAACTGAAAAAAATCAAAAGAGAATGGAGACCAACTCTACTGGTGTGCAAGGGATTGTGGGTAAAGCATGCATAATTCTAAAATCTGCCACAAGTATTAAATTATCCAGGCCGTCTTTTGCATTCTATTTTCAACACCCTAAGGTTGTTTTTCTCATGCACAGGTCTATTTTGAGATTTTGGGTTATTTTGCTACACGAATGTCACATGACTATTTTTTAAACACTTAAGTTGCATCAACTTATCTCAGACATACGAATTATTGTTTTTAGGGATGCACGATATATCGGCCACCATATCGGTATCGGCCGATAAATACTCATTTTTTCTGTTATCGGTATCGGCCCGATAAGAAAATTTGGCCGATATCTTAAAGCCGATAAATAATGAATTATTTCCTTCAGAGACACTTCAGATGCGCGCTGTTCGTTTGCAGCCTTTTGTGCAATTGTACGTTGTAATATTGTGTTTATTTGATGTATATCTGATTTATCTCATATAGAATGCGTTTGGTTAAGTTAAAAGAGCGCTTCAGTTTACCGGTGATAAACTCAAACAGCAGTCGGCTTTCAAAAATAAAGAATTATCAGTTATCGGTATCGGCCAAAATTTTCATATCGGTGCATCCCTAATTGTTTTGCATTTTTAATCCAATCTTGTTCTTTTAAAAGGTACTCTTGACAGTTCAATCAAATAATTTCCAGTGAATGCATGAATTGATCAAATAAATACTAGTCATTTTGTATACAAGCATCTGCCAAATCCATAAATTCTTCAAATGTAGTATTCTGAGTATAATATCGATTATGTGCAGCATATATATTATATATTTCAAAATTATGCTATGGGATGCACTAATCCTAATCTAGCATACGTTATAGAATGCAGCCACAATTTTCAAAAATGTGCTGTGGCTTGTTTCTATATTTTATAGATTTCTCTTTTTATGTGGCTAATGGTCTCAGACGGACAGTCTACAGAACATAGCCAGTCACTAACACAGAACAATGAAGCCTAAATAAAGGCTGGTGTTGAGGAGGGTTCACCTCTTAACAGGACGGTACAGTTGGGAATCAAATTGTGTTTTCCCAAGTTAGTTAGAAAGGCGGGTGAGCCTTAAAGTGATATTTAATTCACTTACAATATCATTTGTATAACAAACCAAATTGACGCAATAGTGCAACACTGTTTATTTTAGGGTTAAAATGGATTTTGAACTCTTTTGAACTCTGAGATTTTGTCTGCAGTTTGGTATTTGTTAGTCTCACACATTGTTGTCCACATCCTTGATTTATGTGGTTTAAGATACTATTTTAATTGATCCCCAAGGTTTGCTCTTTGATCTGATCTGGAGCGATGAAATGTACACAATGTTCTTTTAAACTCAAAGGAATCAATCTGTGCTGCACCCAACAACCTCTCATTGCATTTTGGATGAGACCCTCAGTTTGATAATAATGCAAGTAAAGGCATGCACAGGGGTTGCACAGGGAATATCCAAAACAAAGTAAAACAGCAATCAATCTTATGTGTAGTCCAGTGATTCGCAGCTGGTCAGTCAAAACCAAAAAAAATGGGTCACCTGTCTTTTCTGAGCAGGGGTAAAACAATGTTAAATTCAGTTAATAAAATGCAGCTAACCATATAACCATGCATAAAAATGGAAGGAAAAAAAGATGTTGGAATTACTGTGCTTTGAATCAGTTTTTACTCAGAAATTGCTATTAAAAGAACATTGCGACATCTCGTAGATGGCAGGGCTTGCGTGGCTTATGTAGCCGCCGCCTGATGAGGTGCAGCGATCAGCCTGTGATGATGATGGCCAGGTGCTCCTCGCTTTTTTCCAGGGCGACGCTGATGAAGCTTCGGGACGCTCGTCACACGTGGTCTCCTTGGCGCGGGCCATCCACTGAAGGGGTGCGTGGTCCGGATAATACCCCGCCAACCCTAGAAAGGCGAGCGGAGCTTACCGCCTCCACCTTCTTCTCCTGCGGCCGATTGAGACCCCGTCCCACCTGGAAGCCCAGGTACTTCGCCTCGGAGAGGGCAAGGTGGCATTTGCGAGGGTTGGCGGTGAGTCCAGCTCCCAGCCGGTCCAACAGTTCATTCACCCGAGGCATGGGGTATCCGTCGAACTCGGATACCTCGTTGAGGCGACGGAAGTCATTGCAGAAACGGAGGGTGCCGTCCGGTTTCGGGACCATCGAGATGGGGCTGGCCCATGGGCTGCCTGTTGGTTCTATCACCCCCAACTTCAGCATCTGTTGAATTTCCTCCTCAATAGCTCACCGATGAGCCTCAGGGACGCGATAGGGCCGTTGCCTGACGACGACCCCTGGCAGCGTCCGGATGTCGTGCTGCAGGACGTTGGTCCACCCGGGAAGAGAGGAGAACACATCAGAGAACTGACTGACCAGGTGCTGCAGCTCCCTCTTCCGGGCAGCCGAGAGGTGGGGGTTGACGTCAACAACCACAGGATCAGAGACGGCGAGGGCCGCGAACTGGTCTCTAGTCCCCATCCACTTCTTCAGGAGGTTAATGTGGTAGAGCCGCTCGGCTCTCCTCCTTCCTGGCTGACGCACCCGGTACGTCACCGGCCCAATCTTCTCCAGCACCGTATAGGGACCCTGCCAGGTGGCCAGGAATTTGCAGGCCGCGTTGGGAACTAGGACCATGACTCTGTCTCCGGGCTGGAACTCCCGTGGTTGGGCTGCCCAGTTATAGTTGGGCCTGCTGCGCCTTCATCAGGTGTTCCCGCACTAATGGCATGACCCGGTCGATCCTGTCCCTCATCTGTTTTACATGCTTGATGACAGAGCGATGGGCTGCCGGCTGTTGCTCCCAGGCTTCCTTCGCCACATCCAGGAGGCTGGGGGGTTGCCGGCCAAAGAGGAGCTCAAAGGGGTGAAGCCAGTTGAGGCCTGCGGGACTTCGCGGATCCCGAAAAGGACATAGGGGAGCATCAGGTCCCAGTCGTGTTTATCCTCCGCGACCACCTGTCTCAACAGCTGCTTGAGCGTTTCATTGAAGCGTTCGACCAGTCCGTCGGTCTGGGGATGGTAGACCGGGGTCCTCAACTGCTTCACCCACAGCAGCCGGCAGAGGTCAGCCTTTAGCCGGGACATGAAGGGGGGGGGTTGCCGGCCAAAGAGGAGCTCAAAGGGGTGAAGCCAGTTGAGGCCTGCGGGACTTCGCGGATCCCGAAAAGGACATAGGGGAGCATCAGGTCCCAGTCGTGTTTATCCTCCGCGACCACCTGTCTCAACAGCTGCTTGAGCGTTTCATTGAAGCGTTCGACCAGTCCGTCGGTCTGGGGATGGTAGACCGGGGTCCTCAACTGCTTCACCCACAGCAGCCGGCAGAGGTCAGCCTTTAGCCGGGACATGAAGGGGGTACCCTGATCGGTCAGGATCTCCGCTGGGATGCCGACTTGGCTCGAGAGAGCAGGAAGAGTTCCTGGGCAATGGCTTTGGCGGTGGCTTTTCGGAGGGGCACTGCCTCAGGGTACCGGGTGGCATAGTCGACGATCACCAAGATGTGTTCATGTCCCCGGGCAGACTTAGGCAACGGCCCCACAAGGTCCATCCCGATGTGCTCGAAGGGCACCCCCCGATGATGGGCAGCAGTATCAGCGGACTGGGCTGAGGCGTCCTGGGTGACGTCACTTGGCAGGCTTGGCAGAACCGCTTCACTTCGGCCTCCAAGGCCGGCCAGTGGAAGCGTTCGCGGATCCGCTGGATGGTGTTCCCGGCCCCATATATATATATATATATATATATATATATAAATTTATCAGTTTTCGGCATAAACTGAAAATAATTGAATATATATATATATATATATATATATATATATTAATACACATATACATATACATATACACACACACACACAATATTGGCGGTAAACCAATATGGTACCAATTTAGTGCATATTGCCATTTTTGTACATCAAAGGTTGTGTTCAGTCAGACTCAATGGTATTTTGGCACAAAATCACCTGTAATTTGGTAGAAGCCAGTGAAGTTAGACAAATGCCAACATGGACAGGTTGCGTGACATGCCCTCATGAACAAAGCCACGCAAAATGAAAGAAAATTTGACACAACATGAATAAACATGGTTTGTGCTGACCACAATGTGTTTTGTGTGGTGAATTATTGGCTGCCGAGAGCATAAATCCAACAGAATTCAATTGACATTTAGAAACAAAACACTAGAAATATAAATACTGTTACTCATACTTCTGCTATTGTTTATGCACTTACAAAAATGTCAATTTTCATAATCAGCCTGTCATATCAACGTATTTCAATGTTTGATTTAAAGGACATTTTTATTTAATTTTGTACAATGCTGTAAATAATTTTGTTACTGTGTTGATGTCTAGTGTAAAAAAGTCGTCCTGAAGCAAAACCAGAACCATTCATCTTTCCATGTCATTTTCTGACTCAATACAGCTGTGTGAATGACATGTTTTTCTTTGAATCAGATAGTCGAGGTCTGAGAACGCCTCGACCGTGTTCTCCTGCACTGAAACACCCTGCCTGTGTGTCTTTCCAGCATGTTGGCTGTGATAGCATCCTGGGCTCGGATGCCAAGGAGGACAGATGCCGTGTGTGCGGTGGGGACGGCAGTACGTGTGAGGTCACCGAAGGGCTGTTCAACGATTCGCTGCCCAGAGGAGGTCAGGAGGCCACTGATTATACACTCATCGTAAATAACACATATTCAATATCTTAGTATTTCACCATCTCGTATGAACTATTATGCATTGCCATGAGAATGTGTTGGACAACCTACTAGGTCTATCGAGTTGGTAAGCAGGCAGTTGGTGTAACACAAATATTGGAAGGTTTGATCACAGGCCGCATTGAACCTTGAACTGGAGAGTTCCTACTGGCCCCCATATACTTCAGGCCAAATCGAAAAACTGGTGTGGTGTGACATCAATCGAGCAAAATCAGGACTTTGAAACAGCTTGCCAAAGCAAACTTTCCGGAAAAATTCACTACAGCTGGTAAACAAGTTTGAACTACCATTGGTCCATGGCGATTACGCAATATAGGTTTGATCTGCCTTGACATGGAAATCTTTTCAGGATTTCTATTATGTACGTGCATTTGCATTGCTATGACCATTCTCTGTAGATCCCACCCATAGGCGTAGCTTGATGTTTGAGTTTGGGGGGCCAAACTGAACCGGTGGATTTGGTCAGATGTACTTTTAAACACATTTTAGATTTGCTATAGTAAATCTACATATTCACATTCACATAGAGCAGTGGCAAGTGTGTGAGGTTGTCATGGTAACCACATACATTGCCCACGAATTACAGCTACGCTTCTATTTTTCCTCACTAAACTTAGCAATAAACACGTTTAAAATGCACAATAAACATGTCTGTCAAAACGATCTCAAAGGAGGCTTTTATTAAGCAAATCAAGGAGTGAATTACTCATCCACTGTTTTTAAAACAGATATTTGTTGGGCTTGATTCAAGTTAATGCACAATGAGGCGCACACTTTTTATTTAGTCTTATTGAATAGACGATAAACAGTTTATATTCTAAAATCTATTTAAAGGTTGTGTTCTGTGAAAATTAAATAACGTTTGGATGTAAATGGTCGGCATAAAAGTAGTGTTGCGTCCTGTGCTAAACCTGCTGTGTCCTGTGGATCACCTTTATCTGATTGTCGGGGTCCGGAATCATTAAGCACGGCAATATCTTCATCTGAGTTTTTCGTTGTCTCCAGATTTCTCTGCAGTTCGTGTATGTTGTTAAAAACACGGAACATCATTTTATTCCACACAACAGGCAAGCATTACCGTTAAGTCTATTATTCTCCAAAATGCAGATTCGTCACGTGACAATTCTTACGCAAATGAGATTGAGGGAGACGTTAAGTTTGTTTTGATTTATTAATTTACTCACAACAACCATTTAAAATGTATTAACTTTTACGTATTCACTTTTACATGTATTATTAACTGCATTATATAAATTTTTACTTCATAGAAAAAACTTTATAAATAAATATTTAGTAAAATTCTTAAATCGCTATGGGGGAGCCAGGCCCCCCTGGCCCCCCCCCCCACAAGCTACGCCCATGATCCCACCTTCTTGCATGCCACGATTGGCCAGACTGCTTTTCAGTCATTACTTCAAGTATGAAAACAATTAAAAAACAAAAACAAAATTTGGACTTTTCAGGTAATTTACAAATCCTGTCCAGAGCACGAATGCGGGAAAAAAAGGACGTATGGTCACCCTACTTTAATTTGATCTGTATAAAGTGCTATATAAATAAACGTGATGTGACTTGGTGCAAACATCCACATCGCTATGATTAGATGCTTTCTTAACTGCTGTTTTCTCACTACTGTATTTTGTCAGGGGTAATGCATTACAAGTAAAGCGAGTTATGTAATCCAAAGTAACTAGTAAAGTAATGCATTACCTTTAACTTTACAACAAAATATCTGAGATACTTTTTTTAAATAAGCAGTGAAAGCCACTGATGCCTCTTCTTTCCCCGTGTTGAGAGAAATCTGGAGTGAGGTGCAGAGGCACTTACTTGGCCTAAGGCTTTTTAATTTCACTTTTAGTGTGAAATGGCCTTTACAGTTGCCAAAAATTTTACTTTTGGGTTTATTAAAAGGTTAGTAAAAAACAAATAAGCAAGCCCATCCCAGGTGACAAAAGTAATGCATTACTTACCATAAAGAGAAACTAAGTAATGCAATTAGTTACTTTTTTATGGAGTAACGAAATATTGTAATTAATTACTTTTAAAAGTAACTTTCCCCAACACTGGCGGCACATATTAACATATTTTGGCATCAGGGTGTTCACTAACCGTAACCGCTGCTTACGTATATAGGGAACTTCTTTTTACCCCTAAGTGAAGGACGAAAAAGAACTTTGTTTTAAGTGTATCTGGGTCTTAAGATGTCTTGTCACCACTGGACTTTGAGTGTATATCTAGGGCAGTTGTCCATACAGTCATTGTCCATATTGCTTTGAATATCTGACATTTCTGAAGCTGTTCAAAAACGTAAAATACAATGTGGCAAAATCCATAAGTCACTGCTGAGCTGTATGAAAGAAGAGGAGCATAACGACCCATCTCTCTCTTTAGAATCCCATTCCAGAGAGCGCGCTGCACACTTGCCAAACGCGACAAGTTTTTAATCGCTTTCCACTAGAGAAATCCCACTTGAAGAAAGCACAGCACAAGCGAGTGGAGGAACGCATTGTGTTTTTGGCAGGGGCTTCTGTCAGGGGGCCAACGAGGTGCTTTGGCCAAGCTCGACATTTTTCATGGAAATGCTGTGGGTTTTTTCATCAGACAACCAATGATAAAGCTTTTGTTTTTGGTTCAAGAAACAAGTTGTCAAGATAGAAGCGGTAACACAATATATGAGTATTAATTGCATCATCCAGTGAGAAAATCAATAAAACTTGTAATATTGCAAATGTTGTCAGGCCGCATCCAAAAGTATTCTCTGTAAGGGACTGTTTTCTCCTTTTAAGGTATAGCTGGTAAATCATCTGAAACTTTAAGGGGGAGTGAAGGGTACGGTGTAGATTCTTCTCTTGTAATGAATTTGCTGTTGCTAAGTTAGTTAGGTTTTCTTTGAACATTCTTCTATTCTATATAGGATTCTTTTCAAATTCTCCTTGTCTGAATAGTTTACAAGTAACACTAGATGTAACTAATAAGAATCAGCCATAAAGGTTTAAAGAGGGGTTGCAAATTAAGATTGCAAATTGAAAAAAGGGTTACAAATTGCAAAAGTAAAAAAAAATAATAATTTCATCAACAACAAAACTTCTGATTTTCTTTTTGGAATTACAGAGTTATGATTAGGAATCTGCAAAACTACACAGCTTTCATATATATATATATATATATATATATATATATATATATATATATATGTATATATATATATGTGTGTGTATGTATG